GCTCTCCTCTTTTTCTTTTTTTTTAATTCTGGGATTTATTCACCTTCTATAATTAAAACTTTGTAGCTTTGAGAGGAGCTCAGAGCTGACCAGGGTAGGTGGGAAGGAAGCTTGGCTTCCTCCATTGCCAGGGGCAACCAAGCCTCCTGCTCGCTCCAGCTCCGTGGCCACAGCTGGCTGAAAGCAGCTATCTGGGGTTTATTTACCTTCTATAGTTGAAACTTTATTGCTTTACGTGGAGCTCAGAGCAAGCTGCATGGTTTATTTACCTTCTATAATTGAAACTTTATTCCTTTAAGTGGAGCTCAGAGCAAGCTGCAGCAGGCAGGAAGCTTGGGTTCCTCCATCATTGGGGCAACCAAGCCTCCTGCTTGCTCCAACTCCGTGGCTGCAGGCCGGCATCTTGGTTGGGTTAATTTGTATATAGTTGCTGGTGGGCATGGCTTACAGCATAGCGAAGGTATGGTCAATTTGCATGTTTGTCTTTTATTAGTGTAGATATATATCATATACAATTAAAAAAATAATAAATGGGTATGTATATTTAACCATATTAGACACAATAAATATAATTGAACATATTAAAATCTAGAGGAATAGTGTGATTAACCACACAGAAAAATGTAAAGTTATCTTCACCCTACATTATATATCAAGAAACAAATTTCAATGAATTATATCAGTAAGGATAAAATTACAATTAAATGCAAATAAAAGAGTAAGTGCATATCTACTTACTGATGAGAAATATCATTAAAGGACATCCTAAGCAAAAGTCTTAATATAAAGAGAAACTTGATAATGTTAATAATTTACACAACATATAAACTTGTTTAAAATGTAAGAATTAAAATTAAATTTGGTACATCATTTTAATAAATATTACCCAGGGTATTATGTTTAAAATAAAAAGAAATTTGACAAACCACTAAGAAAACAAGTATACAATTAGAAAAGCAAGTGAGAAAACAAATAGACAATTTATACATGAACATATTTCTGTTAAATTTTATCTCAATAATATTTTTTAAAACTAAAATTAATTTTTGTCTCTGAAATAGACATATATTTTAATTCAAATAATCACAATTGGTGTAAAAGAGACATATTTTTGAAGGGACTAATTTGACCATATTTACCAATTGTATTAAAAATATTAACTTGGTCACATTTATCTTATGAGAATAATTAGACATGTACAAAAAGATTAGGAATAGATATTCATCTTCAAAAGGTAAAGAGAGTAATATAAGGAGCTTTAAAAGAATAAAAAATGTGCTGATTATATTTCATGTGTAATGTGATCTGAAAAAGAAAAATGTGTATGTGTAAGTGTAAATATGTAGAAGAAAGACTAAGGATGTACATCAGAAGAGCAAGTGAGACTATTGCTCCCAATCAAGATTGAGTAAAAGAACAGATAAAACAATTAAATATTAAAACAAAATACACGGGTCGGGGGTGGGAAACTTCAAGTACAAGATACTAGAAAGGACTGATTTCTAAGAACCTGGAAATTGGGCAGTTAACAAGGTGAGCCCTAAGATTGTTCCTACTTACTGCTTGGAGAAAGCTTCCAGGCCACAGGATAAGGAAGGAAGACCCAGTCAGAGCCAGGAGCTGAGGGACCATTAAAATCAGTCAGTTCAAACAGATCCAGAAACAATAGACATAACAATTAGGAGACAAGAACATTTCATAGTGTTTACTACCTTATTCCATATATTCAAGAAAATAGCTGGTTTGGTTCAGTGGATGGAGCATCGGCCTGTGGACTGAAGGGTTCTGGATTTGATTCCAGTCAGGGGCAAATGCCCCGGTTGTGGGCTGAATCCCCTGTTTGGGGCATGCAGGAGGCAGCCAATCAATGATTCTCTCTTAACATTGATGTTTCTATCTCTCTCTCCCTCTCCCTTCCACTATGAAATCAATAAAAAAGTAAAATAAAATAGAAGAAAGAATAACTTCAATAGAGTCATGAAGACATAAAAGGACCCAAATTAAACATTTTTGTAGATTCCATACGTTTCTTTTTTCTATTAAATTTATTGGGGCAACATTGGTTAATAAGATTACATAGTCTTCAAGTGTACATTTCTATGATACAAGATCTGTATATTGCATTGCATGTCTACCACCCAAAGTCAAACCATATGCACTGAGTGGCCAGATTATTATGACTACCCCATCAGTACAATGAAGTGAATTAGTTATGCAAATAATAATAATAACAATAATAGTAAAACCTTGAGAGTATTTGCTTAGGAAGTTTTCAATATTCAGTATTTTTGGAAGTGTCAATGAGGTACTGATGGGGTGGTCATAATAATCTTGCCACTGAGTGCATTAGGCTGCCCTTAACCCTTAACCCTCTTCCCTCTGGTAACCACCATACCATTGTTGTCTGTGTCTATGAATTTCGGTTTTATATATCACATATGAGGGAAACCTATGGTACTTTGCTTTTTCTGATTGAACTTCTCAGCTAGAAATTACAATGTCTGGGAGGAAAAACATAGTGGATAGGATTGGTGGCAGATTAAACATGACAGAGGAAAAGATTAGTGTACATGATGACTCACTTTGATTGCTGTTGTAACAAATTACTGCAGACAGCAATTTGTGCTTATTAAACACACACATCCATTATCTTATAAATCAAGGTATTGGATGGACTGCTTTTCTTCTGATGGTTCTTGAGAAGAATCTATTTTTTAATTGTTTTTTGTTTGTTTGTTTTGCCTTTTCAATTTCTAGAAGCTGCTCTCATTTCTTAGTTCATAGCCTCTTCCTTCATCTTCAAATCTAGCAATGGTGTGTCAAGTTCAATGTGTCAATGTGTCAATGATGTCCCTATCTATCATCTATTCTTCTGCCTCCTTTTCTGGCTTTTAAAAGCATATATGATTAAATGAGCACCCCAACCCCATATAAACTAGAATAATCACCCTATTTTAAAATTATCTAAAGTTAGGAGAGAAGAAATATTTCAAATAAATGACCTCAGCTTCCTCTTAAAGAAATGAAAGAGATTACATTAAACCCAAAATAATCAGAAGAAAGAAAATAAAATCAATTGCCACGACCTTCGTGGTGGGGTTCAGGATCTGAAGGAGGGGTTGACACACAAATAAAAATACTAACAAGAAATATGAATTTAGAAGGCATTGGGGAACAGGTGGAGCCTCTTTTTTGAAGAGACACAGCCGATAATGGGTCCAGTTTGCTTTTTATTCACTCTGAATACACATTTGCCCTTTAGCAATGCATACAGGCAGATCAAAGGTAAAGTTTGGTAAACAATGTAACAATTATCAGGTCCAGAAATTGCCTCAAGCCATTGCAATCACAGTAGGAGCAAAACTTGTGCTGATAATCAGCCCTCCTGAATTTCAAAGTCCATTGGCCTTCCAATGTCTTTCTTTGATGCTAACTGATGTGTGCTTTAGCTTCCAGCAATCAATCATAGTATAAATTAATAAAAAATAAAATATACAAATGTATATTGTTCATATTGAATATTAGGTTTACATATTTTTCTACTAGGTATTTTTCATAGAATGAAAGGCATATTCAAATTTTCAGAATTTAACAACTATATTTTTTTTAATCTCCAGGCTAAAAGATTTAAAACAAAGATTAGGTTTTAATAGAGGTCAAACAATACTCAATATTGAGATGTAATTATTAATAAAATCTTAAAACCAGTTCTGGGGGAAATAATATTCTTTATCAAGGCCATCTTTCAGAGGTGTGCACAATATAACAACTTCCAGGAATCTACTAATTAATT